CGCCGTGAGCACGAGCCTAACAAACGCATCTACCCTCCGGCCCCTGCTCCTCTTATGCCCCCAGTTCACCCTCCAACCCACCCACCGGCTCACCCCCCACATCACCACCGCCGCGACCACGAGCACCACCACGACCGCGACCACGAGCACCACCACGAGCACGAGCACCACCACCACCACCACCACCCTCCGGCCCATGCTCCTCTTAAGAACTCAGTTCACCCCCCAACCCCACCACCGGCTCACCCTCCACATCACCACCACTACGGCAGCGAGTCGGAGCGCCGCCACCACCACCACCACCCTCCTGCTGACTCACCAAAACACTCCCAATAAAAGGTTTGTCGCAGTTGAAGGTGTTATATAGACCTCTGTTATTGCTTTTGCCATTTATTGGCATCGCTGTTTCCATTTTCTAGAGTTTGCGAGATGGGTTATATCCCTAAAGCTTCAATTATATACAATAAACATTGACTGCAATACGTTCTGCTTTCAATAAAGGAGTCATTTTTAAAACTGTTGTTGTCGCGATTATTATATCCATTTAAGGACTTTTTTCTGTTTAATGCTGAATTTATATTATACTACTGCTTTTATTAATGTCACCCAACAGCAGAGAATTTTTTTCATGCTATAGATAATTATGTATGTGTAGAACTCACCCACTTATAAAGAATGTAAAAAAGAAAAACAAGTAACATAAAAATTGATGCATGTGTAGGAGAATTTTTTTCTCCTACAACATAAGAGTATATTTTCCCTTATACTATTTATGTGTGATGAGTTTTGTATTTGGTTCGTAATAAGTTAAGAAAAATATATATAAGTGGAGAGAAACCCATAAATTCAATGTCATAAATTTTTTGGTTGTGATATGATATCGAAATTATTTGGTGTTGTTGGTATAATTTAATTCATTGATGGTAATTTTTCACCATGGACTCCTCTGAACCCGTCTCACACATAAAATTAAAATTAGTAAATAAAAGTATGTTCATCCTTAAATTCTGTTACTTGTTAAAAAACAATACCATTAATTGAGTTGGTAATGTATTAAATATTGTATAAGATAATTATCTTATACAATAAAAACAAGGTCGTAAAATCCACTACTTTTTTAAAAAAAATAGAAAAAAAGAAAATATAATGGACTCCATTATACTTTTAATTTAACATTTATATTTTTTTATCAGTAACCAAAGAATTTTAAATAGAAAAATTAATTTTTTTTAACTTTTCAGAAATATAACAATAAATCCTTATTTAATGTAAAAATATTGTTTGTTTGTTATCTAAGTTAATATGGGTTATAATCATGGGATAAGATATTGTGACACCCAAGTTATGTTACACCCATGTGACACCCAGTCAATCTCACCGTTAGATCGCTTATGTTGATCCAACAGTTATATTTATTTCTATCTTTGTATGGTCATGATTTCCCAAATTTAAAGTGAAAGCATTAAATATGAGAAATCATAACCATACAAAGGTAGAAATAAATATAAAATATTAAATTTGAGAAATCATGACCATACAAAGATGGAAATAAATATAACCGTTGGATCAACATAAGCGATCTAACGGTGAGATTGACTGGGTGTCACATGAGTGTAACATAACTTGGGTGTCACAATATCCTATCCCTATAATCATAATAAAAAATATTTGGCTTCGAAAAAAGGTTGTTTTTTATTACAATTGTGCCTTTATTATATACCAAATTATTACATTGCCCCATATCAAAACTATACATCAATCTGTCTTATTTGACCGTTAACTGGATCATGTAATAGATTACAACATTCATGTAATCGATTACATCATGATTATCTGATATAATCCATTACACCAGTATAATTGATTAAATAAGTGAACAGAGTCGTATAAACTTCTTTTCACGAGATTTTTTTGGATCAAACGATATTTTACTGTAAAACTTGGGAAAGCCATAACTTTGACCTCGTATACCAGAAATGAGGTTTTTTTTTATTCTATATAACTTTTCAAGAAGAACGCGCTGACAAGTACCCAAAGGGGACTCGATCAAAATCTTTTTTCAAAAATTGCTTCCTCATGTCTTGTTTGACATATTTTATTTATGTGGATGATGTTATTCAATTCCTATTCTTATTTTCACGTGCTAATACTAAAAAATAATCATTCCAACGTATAGATCTCAAAAAATTACATAGAATAAAAAAATACTTCATTCGGACTCTCGAGCCAAAAATTTCGGTCTTCCGAAGTAATCGATTACTATAACCATGTAATCGAATCGATTACATCAAAATGTCAATGGTCAAATATGTTGAGTACAACTTATACTTCGCATGATGATGAAAGTCTTTATTGGCGGGGTCAGCATAAGGTAACTGAGATTCCGTAGAGGCTAGGTAATGTTGTTGGCCTCTTATTTATTGTAATTTTTCTTTTTCTTAGTAGTTTGGGCTTGGACCCATGAATAGCTTCTGTGAGGGTTCTAATACTATTTATATTCTTCTTGTAAATCGAATGATTTGTAAGAAGTGGTGGTAAGGTGAATATAGTATAGACAAGCTGGACGTAATCTACATTAAATGAACCGGGATAAATTATCGTGTCAAAATTCTCTCTTCTCTATCTCTTTTATTTTTCAATTTATGTGTGATTGCCGATTTTCAACAAAACATGGATAAATTAGTATTAAGTTTTAGTAAAATTTCAAATTTGTAAATAGTATAAAAATAAGAACACAATGGTAATTTTTATTTTAAAAAGGGACAAAATGGTTAAAAAGTCCATAAAAATGGGATAAATAATTTAACATGATCTCCAGTGTAAAGAACCTTGGGATACACCACCCCAAAAGCTAGCTCAAAGGGTGGGAGTGCCCAAGGCCTTATAAAGGCCACATTAGTTTCCCACACAATCAATGTGGACTATATATCTCAACACGCCCCCTCACACGAGAGCCCATTGGACTTGAAGCGTGGATTATGCATAGGCCCAATTTTTGGTTTACTTTTTTGTGCTTTTTATTTTAATTCCACTTTAAAGTGGGGGTAGTGAGGATCGAACTTGTGACCTTATAGTCACTCAAGCTCTGATACCATGTAAAGAACCTTGGATACACCACCCCAAAAGCTAGCTCAAAGGGTGGGAGTGCCCAAGGCCTTATAAAGGCCTCATTAGTTGCCCACACAATCAATGTGGGACTATATATCTCAACATCCAGCGAGATTTTAAGAGAAATAACCATGTGCGGTTTGATTGAGATGTAGAAACGTGAGGTTGGACGTAACTGTACACGAGCACTGAGAAAAGCTAAGTTGGAGTAATTTGTTCTGGGAGGTTATATTTATAATTTTTTTTATAAATTCTTATAAATTATATTATGTTTTAAAGGTAAGATATTTTTGAATAAAATTTTACTAATAAAATATAATGTAGTTTATAAATTTGTAAATGTAAATATAACTCTCTTTTTTTGTTTGGGATAACCATATAAAAAATAAAATTAAATGAATGCAATAGCTATATTGCAAAAATTTGCCTTACACTAACATAACCACAAAATCTCATTAATTCCGAATATTTGTCCCTACAGAAAATATGTCGGTATAAACTTGTGATCTTGTTTCAGTTGTTGAGATATATAGTCTCACATTAGTTGTATGAACAATTAATGTGGAGTTTATAAGGCTTTTGGCACTCTCATCCCTTGAGCTAGCTTTTGAAGTAGTGTATCCCAAGGTTCTTTACATGGTATCAGAGCATCACCGTCCCCCACTTTAAAGTAGAATTAAAACAAAAAACACCAAAGGTAAACCAAAAATTGGGTCTGTGCATAATCCACGCTTCAAGCCCAAAGGGCTCTTCTGTGAGGGGGCGTGTTGAGATATATAGTCCTACATTAGTTGTATGAACAACTAATGTGGAGTTTATAAAGCTTTGGGCACTCCCACCCCTTGAGCTAGCTTTTGGGGTGGTGTATCCCAAGGTTCTTTACATCAGTAATGTATAGTTATATTTTTGGTTAATTTTCTTAACACGTATATTTTAAGGTTTTAATATTTCTACAGTGAATGTAAATGTCTACATTCGTTTCCAAAACAACATCGTTTTGGGTTAAAAAATTAAAAAATTATAATTAAAAAGACTATTATAATTTTAAAATAAATTATAATTATAAAAATATCTTTATTTCTGTCTCAGAATAACATTATTCTAGACTCAAGGTAGATAAATAATGTAAAAAGGTTATTTATATTGACGGTAGAAAAAGCGAACCCATATTTTAATAAGTTAATATGATGATTAGGAGATTTATTGCCAAACAAGTTCAACAAATCTGATTTCCGTTTTTTTTTTTTGCTTTTACGTTTTGACATTTACACCGAAAATGATCATTCAGTAATCCAATCCCAATTATTTACCTTTGTAGGAAGTAAACATAACCACAACATCTGATTATTTCAGAATTGTTTCTTACAACAAAAATAATTTTGATTTCAATTATTATTATATGCCTAATAAGTTAACATCACTTTGTTACGGGAAAAAAAAAGAGTTAACATCACTTTCGATTTCAGCAAATCTGGTCTCTTAATTCCCTGTTCTGTCTTTCTCAATTGTAATCGTCTCTCATAGCCGTTTCCCTAGTATATAATATATGCGTTATATTTATCTTATTTTACACGAGAGAAATAATTTTTTCTTCACATACAAAAGAGGATGAGTCTCATCACTCTCTTTTTATCTCTCCTCTTACTTATAAGTCCTACTTATAATTTTATTTTTATAGCATGAAATAATTATTTTTCTATTACATAAAAAAAATATTTCCCATAGTATATACCCGTGGGACAGGGAGTAATTAAATTTTTGCATTTAATTATTCATGAACAAAAGCCCATGAGAGTCTCATCTTCTCGGCTCCTATAAATAACTCTATCATTGTAAAACACACACACTCTACAATAACATCACATTCTCTCTCTCAAAACTTGCTTAGAGCAATGGCAAAAGCTCTAGCATTACTCATGCTCTTAGTGAGCACTTTCACCGTGTTTGCACAAGCGTTTGAAATTTTTCAACGCCCTCCTATTATTCCCCCAGTAGCAGCTTCACCTTATTACCACCACCCTGAGCCTCCCTGTTCTACTACTCCAACCCACCCATGGGCTCACCCCCCACATCACCACCGCCGCGAGCACCACCACCACCACCACCACCCTCCAGCCCCTGCTCCTCTTAAACCTCCAACCAACCCATGGGCTCACCCTCCACACCACCATCACCGCCACCCGTGGGCTCACCCCCCACATCATCACGGCCGCTACGACCACCACCACCCTCCGCCTCCTGCTTGTCCTCCTTTTAAGCCCCCTACACACCATCATCAGTATCACCCTCCTACTCCTGCTGACTCATCAATACGCTTCCATCCCTAGAAGCTTTGTCGCAGTTGAAGGTGTTATATAAACCTCTGTTATTTCTTTTGCCATTTATTGGCATCGCTGTTTCCATTTTCTAGTGTTTACGAGAAGGTTTATACCCGTACGTGAAGTTGTTGTAATGTATTTCTAAGCTTCAATTATATACAATAATATTGACTGTAATACCTTCTGCTTGCAATAAAGGAGTCAATCTTAAAACTGTTGTCGCAATTATGATATCCATTTAAGGATTTTTTTTTAACAGTGAATCTATATATAAAATTAGTGAATAAGAGTATGTTCAGTTACTTGTTAAAAACTTAAAAATGAGAAATATTAAAGAAAACAATACCATTATTTGAGTTTGTAATATATTAAATATTTCACTTTTAATTTAACATTTATATTTTTTGATCAGTAACCAAAGTATTTCACTAGTAAAATTATTATTTTATTTGCTGTGTGACATTTTTTTTTTCCTCGTTAGTTTCATATACGATATAAGCTTCTCAGTAGAATTATTCTAACAAATAAGCTAGGTTTTAGTTTAAATGGGTCAAATTTATTTAAAAAAATTTAGGTCTGATCTGACTTGTTAGTCTGTGTAGACTCAAATTACAAGTCTGACCTGACTTATATTAAAATAATAAAAAACCTTAGTCTAGGCCTGTTAACTTGTTTAACCCTATTAAACATTTAATAATTAAAAAATTAACTAAAATAATATTAATTTATTATTCAAAAATATTAAAATAATAATTTTATTTATTTTATTTAAAATAAATAATATGATATAGGCCGGTTTGTAAATTTACAGGTCCGACGTGTAAAAAAAACTTATAACCTACTTTCTAAATAAATTTTTTTAAAAATTATTTAATTATTTGTAATAGGTCAAATCTAGCCTAATATAAACTAGGCCGTAAATCTCTTTAAACGGACCTAACTCATTTACACTCACAGTATCAACATATGATTTTCTCTTCGTTGCGTATAAATAAAAGCATCTTCTCGGTAGGATCTATGATCGATCTACGGTAATTAACGTCAGACAGCATCTTCTTATTATTATTGAATATTTAGATTCATTTACGTGTTGTAAAGTCACATAATGTATATTCATATTTTTAATTTTATCACATTCTGTATATCACTTTAAAAATGTATGTGGTGTATTATTAAACTTATCATTTTATATGAATATAAATATATCACTTAATGTGCTCATTTAATAGAGTTGAAAAACGACAACAAAATCTAAGATTAACTACCTTGCTGTCAACTAAGTATTTTTATTTTTGGTTAAGTTAACTAAGTACTTTGGTTTTGATGTCTATCAAAAATATTCTCATAATATTCTAAGAATAAAATGGATCTGCCTTCTCAACAATCAACGAAAAAGTTTGCATTTTGTGTAGGCGTCAAAAAAATTTCCCCATTTTAATGCACCAATAGCAAATGCGTGGTAAAGGAGATCGCACATCGGTTATTGAAAAAATAAAAAATAAAATATCAGAGTGCGCTGTGTCGCACAATCTGGTCCAGTATAATCTTTTCTCATTCTCGTCTCAGAAATATTTATTCGTCTCCCATACTTATTTATTTCAAATAATAAAAATTATTAAAAATTAAAAATGAAATATTATTAAATAAATAAAATTACGAAATAATATATAATTAAAATTATTACTTACTAAAATATTTAATTATTTTCATTAACTAAAATGGCAATTTTTTTGAGATCAAATTAGAAAACATAATAAGAAATTATTAGACTAAGATTACAACCAGTTCTCGATTCAGCAAATTTGATTTTAAAATACTAGTTGAGAATTATTAACAATTTTTTTAAAAAATAATCATATTAAAAGTTTGTTACTTTTCAGAAAATAACAATGAATCCTTATTTAATATAAAAATATTGTTTTCTTGTTATCTACATTATTATGGGTTATAAAGAATTGTAATAAAAAGTATTTCACTCAGAAAAATGGTATAAAAAAATTTAGAGAAAAGTTCACCAATGCACTTGTGGTTTGCTTCAGAATCACCTATGCCCCTGTGGTTTTTTTTATCACATATGCCCTTGTGCTTTGTAAAAAATAAAAAATCACAGGGGCATTGGTGAACTTTTCCCAAAAATTTAACCATAGCTCCTGTGAGTTTTTAAGAGGAGTGGTTATGTGACATTTGTTTCGGGGGAAAAATCCGTTTACAAACTTACAAATTATACTATGGTTGATCAGTAATATTCTATTCAAAAATGTATTATCAGTTAGACATAGTGTAGTTTATAAACAAAATTTTTTATAAATATAACAATCCCCTTGTTTTAGGTGTTAGAAACGTGAGATTTGATAGAGATGTACATGAACGGTGATAAAAGCTAAGTTTGAGCAGTTTGTTTGGGGATAACCAAATTATGTTTTTTTAAAAATGCTAGGAGTAGCTATATTGCAATAAAAAAAAATTAAAAATCTTCCCCTCAAAGAGCATATTTTCGATACTCCTAAAATGGAAACAAAAAGAGATGGAAGAAAATAACCACAAAACAAGGACAATATAATTGTGTTAATTTTTCAATATTTAGTAAAAGATGTATCGAGCACTCAGTATATCTGATATTTCAAAAATATTTCCCCCCTCAAGATATTAACTAGCTAGGGCCCATCGTCGAATATTGGTGTGACAATCTATGATGCACGGACACTACGGGACACGACACGCCGATACGTTAATTCTAAAAAATGGCATATTTTGACACGTTGAGACACGTTTTGATATTAAATAATATTTTTAATATATATATAATATAATTTATATTTAATACATGTAACAGTCCATAATAAGTCATATAACAAATCAAATATTCAAAATTTATAACATAAATATAAAATAAAATAAAAATACCTTGTTAATTTTTCATGTCAAATTTCATAATAGAAAAAAATTGATTTATAAATGATTTTTTTATTTTTAGTTAATAAAAAAAATTAAGACTAGAAAAAAAATACGTGTCGAAAAAAGTTGACTGCGTGTCGAAAAAACGTGTCGGAGCGTGTCAGAGAGTTGACCACGTGTCCCAAAATATTTACCTCGTGTCGGAACGAGTCGGTGTCCGACACGCATCTTTAAAAAAAAAGCGTGTCGGGGGTATTAGAGGTGACAATTGTGTGTAATTATTTAATATCCAATTTAATCTTTTCTCAACCATAAACACAAGATATATTAATTAAATCATGGTTTCATTTTTTTACAGCTGTAGAAGAGAGATTTATCTACCACAGACATATGTTCACTAGAATCTACCGACAGATCCTCATTTAAAAATAATAATAATAAGAATTCGACGTCATATCCTGATAAAAATATGTCTGTATCAAACAAAATATTTCTGCCACAAAGACAAATATACTTTTTCCTTAAATCATTTATTTGGTTTAGATAAGTGTGTTTATTTGAAGGGAAAATATTTATCCTTTATTTAAAAAGAGATGAGACCCATACCTTTATTTATTTTTTGTCCACTTTCTCCCCTATGATCTATTTCTTTCTCTCACTTAAAATGACACTACTTTACATCTTTTAAAATGATACACACTTTTCCCTTATTTTGAATTTGCCTTAGATTTTTATGGCTAATATCTTTTTATTAAATCCAATTTTGATATATTATTAATATAAAAAAGGTTTTACAATACTACTTAATTATGTGCTTTCATAACCATAACAACATTTTATGAATTTAACATATTATTAAATTATTATAATCATACTCTTCAAATATATATCGTTATAAAAGTAAAAGATGGTCTAAAAAAAATGAAACAGTACTGCGAGTTTTCATGAAACATGAAAATTTAAATTTAAAATTTCATTACATTTTTACAGTTATTTATTTGTATTTAAATTTGATTTTCATATTTATCTAACCATGATCTCACAATAAATTTTATATAAAAATATTCTTGAGAAAATATTATAGAAACAACGAATCAAACCTATTATTATTTTTCTATTTTCAGTTATAATGGTATTAGAATATATTAATTTTTTACACAAAACTAATAGCTAGTCTTTATTGAACTTATTAAATGAGGTAAATGTTAATATAAAATAATGTCATAATTAAAATAGTCAACGATACTTCTAATTTAAGTAAATGTGCTCCCTCATTCTGAATTCTAACCGTCTTTCATAATCATTTTCCTGGGTGAAATTAATTTTATATGAACAAAAGCACATGAGAGTTTCATCTTCATCTCCTATAAATAGCCCTATAGTTGTAAAGCACACACCACAACAACATCACTTCCCCTTTCTCAAAACTTGCTTAGAGAAATGACAAAAACTCTGGCATTATTCATGCTCTTAGTGAGCACAATCACTGTGTTTGCGCAAGAGTTTGAAATTATTGAACACAGTCGTCTTCATCCCCCGGTAGCAGCTCCACCTCACTCCCATCACCCCAAGCCTCCCTCTCCTACTCCATCCCCACACCCCCCACATCACCACCACCACCACCACCATCACCACCACCATTCCGCTCCTGCTCCAGCTCCTCTTCCAGAGATTCACCCCCCACCTCACCACCACCCTCATGCTTCTATTGACACTCCAAACCACTTATCTGCTCACCCCCCACATCACCATGCTGGCCACCACCATCACCATCATCACCCTCCAACTCCTGCTTACGCTCCTTCTACACCCCCTACCCACCACCATCATCACCCTCCTACCCATGCCCCTGTTCACCCTCCTGCTCACTCACCAGGACACTCCCTTCCCTAAATGTTATGTAGCAGTTGAAGGTGTTATTTTATAGACCTATGTTATTTTTGTTGGGCATTGTTGTTTCCATTTTCTAGTGTTTCAGAGAAGGGTTATATCCCTAAAGTTATTGTCATGTACTTTTGAGCTTTAGTTATATGCAATAAGATTGACTGTAGTACATTCTGTTCGCAATCAATAAAGGAGTTAATTTCAAAAGTGCTATGCTAATCATTATTAATATCCATTTACGGATTTTTTTAAAAGTGATTTTATATATATAATTAGTAATAAAAGTAAAGGTATAATCTTTTAATTTCGGTACAAGATTAAGAAGTCGTGCTCCTCTTCTTAGCTATTAATGTCTATCCATTTGATAGTTGTATTTTATTTAAAATTAGTAATTAATTAATAGAGATAACTCAATAAACTACAATTGTTGAATGGTTAGAAATCAACAGCTGAGATATGTGAAGTAAAACTTCTTAATCTTATATTGGAGTTACAAGATTTTCTCTCATAAAAATATGTTCATCCTTAAATTTAGTTACTCATTAACAATTAAAAACAAAAAAAATACAGTTATTTAAGTTTGTAATATATTAAATATTTTACATTTAACTTAACATTTATATTTTTTTATCAGTAACCAAAGAATTTTGGTATGTAAAATTATTATTTTATTTGCTGAGTGACTTTTTTCTCCCTTGTTAGTTTCATATTCGATATAAGCTTCTGGATAGAATGATTCCAACAATGCATTATTTTCTCCTCTTCGTAAAAATAAAAGCAAAGTATAGCTTGAGGGATCTATGATCTACCGCAATTAATGTCAGATAGCATCTTGTTATACTTATTAATAAATATTTAGATTCATATACTTGTTTTAAAGTCACATAATGTATATTCATAATTTTAATTTTATCACATTTTGTATATTACTTTAAAAATGTGTGTGATGTTGCGTTAAAAAAAATGTATGTGATGTATTATTATATTTTCCATTTTATATAAATATAAATATGGGTATAATGTTTCTCATGTTGTAAGAGATAAATTTTATCTCCTATACACACATAAAAGAATATGGAACCCTTTTTTTTTCTCCTTATCTCTTCTCCTCACATGGACCCCACACACTTTCTTGTTTTCGCTCATCTCTTCTGCTTTGGGGCCTTGAATCCCCTTTTAATGTTGTAATGAATATTGTCGGGATCTTTCCTGGTTTTGTCTTCTTTTTTTTTTAGTATTTTATGACTTTATATTACTTGCTAACCGCATGCACTGCTTTACAGCTGGTATTATCTTAGCCGGACTTTTAGGGCGAGGCTTTTATCATACCTTTTTCCTGATAATATAGTTTTATTCGCCTAGATTTTTAGGCTTATTTAGTAACTCGGATATAATCTCGAGCTTTTTAAAACATAATAGTATTATTTTATTATATCTATTAACTCGGATATGAATCTCGAGTGCTATCGCTGACCTGGCGATTGTCAATCTATATTACACGGATTCCGCCTTTTTATTTGTCTGGTATTATTTTTCGTGACATTTCTTTATTTTAAGTTAGCATTTTTTTTTTGCGAAGGTAAATATTGATCCCTTCGATCTATAATTCGGGTTTCATTACCAAGATTTTATCTGATGTAAAGGCAATACTGTCACATATGCGGGTTTGGTTCACTGACCACAATTTTGAACATCTCAACTTGATCAGAATCATTATGACAAATCACATTTTTATCTCGGATCTGTATATTGAAGCACCACAATTCTAAGGATAAATTTCCAGGAAAATTTCCTCATTTTATTCAAATTGAAAATATTGATTACATGATTTTGTCGATATAGCCGACTTTATACAATCCCTACCAAAACAAAAATAATTCACCTAGAAATTGAAAAAATATTTGAAAAGACTTTCCATGGAACTTGGATCTTAACTGTAATACATCTTCAGTTTATTCACATTCCATATTCATTTAGTAGGCTTTTCTTCTAACGTTTCCAGTATGTAAGCTTATTTACCGAGTTTCTCTCTTACTCGGTAAGGGCCTTCCTAGTTTGCAGCCAACTTCCTATCTTTAGAAGTCTTGTTGCCAATATCTGCTCTTCGAAGTACCAAGTCATCTTTTTCAAATTACCTTGGTCTTACTTTTCCATTATATATAGTTGTTATCAATTGTTTGGTTGCCATATCTCGGTAATGTGTCGTGACTCTGACTTCATCTATTAGATTTAACTCTACTGCCAGAGCTTCGTTATTATTTTCTTCTTTTTCTTTAAGAGTCTTCATTCTCCTCCAAGATGGCTCTCCTATTTCAACCAGATCATGGCTTCACATCCATAAGTAAGTCTGAATGGAGTTTCTCCTATTGCTGTCTCAATGCTTGTTCTGTGTCTCCACAAGACAAAATATAGTTGTTGAACCCAACTTGTTTCAGCATCTTCCACTCATTTTCGAAGTTCATCCATTATTATTTTATTAGCAGCTTCAGCGTGCCATTTGATTGAGGATGTTTAACAGATGCGAAGCGATGTCAAATCTTCAAGTCAGTCATCAACTCTTGGAACCTTTTATCAGAAAATTGGGTTCCATTATCTGTTACTATCTCGGCCGTAATTCCAAATATGAAAATGATATTTCTTTCAAAATATCTTTCAACTTTAGCCGAGGTGATAATAGTCACGGGTTCAGCTTCTATCCCTTTTGTGAAATAATCAACAGCTACAATCAACAATTTTAACTGCCATTTAGCTGCTTTAAATGGTCCCAACAAATTCATTCCCCATTTATAGAAAGGTCAAGGAGCCGAGATATATTTTAGTTCTTCAGGAAGAAGTATCATCCTGACATGCTTTTGACAACTATTACATTTCTTGACACGATTTATTGCTTTAGTCTCCATAGTTTGCCAATAATACCCTCTTCGAACGGCTTTTCGAGCCAATGCTTTGGCACCCATGTGTTGACTATTGATTCCTTCATATATCTCGGCCAAAACGTACACTGATTTTTTCGGGTTTAAACACTTTAACATTGGAGAATGTAAACCTTTTCTGTATTGATCCTCAATTACTGCATACATAGTTACATCTCGGATTAATTTTTTGGACTCGGTTGAATCCTCTGGTAATATTCCTCTTTCCAGATAAGCAACAACTGGTTGCCTTCAATCTTCTGATGATGCAATAACCATCACATAACTCGGCTCTGCTATGCTTTGCTCGACCACGATTTTGTGATTACCTGAGTTCTTTGTACATGCTCGACCACGAATATGAGTAATTATGACTTCACAAAACTCAGTTATAATTTCCTTTACTCTATTCAAATACTTCATTAGCATAGGTCCCTTATCTTGATATTTCCCATCAATTTGCGAAGTGACAAGCTGGGAATCACAGAAGAATTTGATAGAACTGGTGGTGCTGCTAAAAATCTCTTGATCTTTTGAAATGCAACTTCATAATCTAAGTTTCATCCATGTTCAACTTCTTTTTTTAACAACTTAAAGAATGAGAGCGCGTTTTCAGCCGACTTCGGCAAGAATCTAGTCAAAGCGGCTAATCTACCTGTTAACTGCTGAACTTCTTTCTTGTTTCTAGGGTATTTTATGTCTAGCACAACTTTATAATAGTGTGAGTTTTCATGAAACATGAAAATTTAAAATAAAAATTTTATTACATTTTTTCAGTTAATATTTGTATTTAAATTTTATTTTCTTCTTTATCTAACCATAATCTCACAATAAATTTTATATAAAAATATTCTTGAGAAAATATTATAGAAACAATTAATCAAAACTATTATTATTTTTCTATTTTCAGTTATAATGGTATTAGAATATATTAATTTTTTACACAAAACAAATAGCTAGTCTTTATTGAACTTATTAAATGAGGTAAATGTTAATATAAAAAGATGTCATAATTAAAATAGTCAACAGTACTTCTAATTTAAGTAAATGTGCTCCCTCATTCTGAATTCTAACTGTCTTTCGTAATCGTTTTCCTGGGTGAAATTAATTTTATATGAACAAAAGCACATGAGAGTTTCATCTTCAACTCCTATAAATAGCCCTATAGTTGTAAAACACTCTCCACAACATCACTTCCCCTCTCTCAAAACTTGCTTAGAGAAATGACAAAAGCTCTAGCATTTTTCATGCTCTTAGTGAGCACAATCACTGTGTTTGCGCAAGAGTTTGAAATTATTGAACACAGTCGTCTTCATCCCCCGGTAGCATCTCCACCTCACTACCATCACCCCAAGCCTCCCTCTCCTACTCCATCCCCACACCCCCCACATCACCACCACCACCACCACCATCACCACCACCATTCCACTCCTGCTCCAGCTCCTCATCCAGAGATTCACCCCCCACCTCACCACCACCCTCCTGCTCCTGTTGACACTCCAAACCACTTATCTGCTCACCCCCCACATCACCATGCTGGCCACCACCATCACCATCATCACCCTCCAACTCCTGCTTACGCTCCTTCTACACCCCCTACCCACCACCATCATCACCCTCCTACCCATGCCCCTGTTCACCCTCCTGCACACTCACCAGGACACTCCCTTCCCTAAAAGTTATGTAGCAGTTGAAGGTGTTATTTTATAGACCTATGTTATTTTTGTTGGGCATTGTTGTTTCCATTTTCTAGTATTTCGGAGAAGGGTTATATCCCTAAAGTTATTGTCATGTACTTTTGAGCTTTAGTTATATGCAATAAGATTGACTGTAGTACATTCTGTTCACAATCAATAAAGGAGTTAATTTCAAAAGTGCTATGCTAATTATTATTAATATCCATTTAAGGATTTTTTTAAGTGATTTTATACATATAATTAGTAAATAAAAGTAAAGGTATGATCTTTTAATTCCGGAACAAGATTAAGAAGTCGTGCTCCTCATCTTAGCTACTAATGTCTATCCATTTGATGGTTGTATTTTATTTAAAGTTAGTAATTAATTAATAGAGATAACTCAATAAACTACAATTGTTGA